AGCAGCACTATTTGTAATAGCCAGAACCTGGAAACAACCTAGGTGCCCCTCAATAGAAGAATGGTTAAAAAAGGTGTGGAACATATACACATTAGAATTTTACTCAGCGGTAAAAAACAATGACATCTTGAATTTTGCATGCAAATGGATGGAAATAGAAAATGCTTTACTGAGTGAGGTAAGCCAGACCCAAAAAGAGGAACACGGTATGTATTCACTCATAAGTGGATTCTAACCATAATTAAAGGACGTTGAGCCTATTATTCGTGATCCTAGAGAAGCTAAATAAGAAGGTGAACCTGATGAAGATTATTTTGCTATCCGCCAGGAGATAGGAAATAGAAAAGAGTCCCAGGTAACCTCGGGTGCATGGGGGGATGGAAGGGTTGTTTGAAGGGGAGAGGGTTAGAGAGAAGGGAGTAGGGGAGGAATGGGGAAATCTTGGATGACTGGGATGGGGGGAGGGAAGAAGGATGGATATGGGATCAGGGAAGAATATATCTCAACTAAGGGAGTCATTTTAGGGTTTACAAGAGACTTGATTATAATTGGGATCCCAGGTCCAAGGAGAGATCCCCAGATTGTTCTCTGGACAGAGGAGAGGGTGCCTGAACCGGCCTTGGCCTATAACCAAACTGATGAATATTTTGCTTATCACCATAGATCCTTCATCTGGTAATGGATGGAGATAGAGACAGAGACCCACATTGAAACACTAGACTTAACTCCCTAGGTCGAAACGAGAAGCAGAAGGAAAGAGAATGTGAGCAAAGAAGGCAAGACCAGAGGGAAGCTTCATCCGACGATGGATAGCAATACAGACAAAGACCCACAATGGAGCACTGGACTGATCCCCCCAAGGTCCAAATGAGGAGCAGAAGGAGGAAGAACATGAAAAAGGAAATCAGGGCCGTGAGGGATGCGATCACCCACTGATACAAGGGGACTGATCTAATGAGAGTTCACCAAGGCCAGTTGGACTGGGATTGAACGAGCACGTGATCCAACCAGATTCTCTGAATGAGGCCGGATTCTCTGAATGTGACTGGCCCTGAGTCTTTCTGAAAAGCCATTGACAATGACACTGGGACTTGTTTCCTCTGCATATACTGGATTTTTGGGATCCAGTCTGTTTGGATACTCACCTTCCTGGACCTGGAGGGAGGGGGGAGGAACTTGATCTTCCCACAGGGCAGGAAACCCTGACTGCTCTTAGGGATGGAGAGGGAGGAGGAGAGGGAGTGGGCGGAGTGGGAGGGTTTTGGGAGGAGGGGCAGAAATGGAAACTTTTATAATTTAATAAACTTTGAAAAAAATAAAGTAAAATTAAATTAAAAAAAACTTATAAATGAGGTATTGACAAACTGGAACTCGGCGTTTATGAGCTCAGCATTTATGAACTGTAACTACTCTTCCAGTTGACTCAGGCTCAATTCTTAGGACCTATATGACAGCTCACAACTCTCTATAACTCCATTTCCAGGAAATATGATGTTCTCTGAGTACAGCAGCCACACATGTGCTGCACAAAAATAAATGCAGACACAACATCTGTCCACATAGAATAAAAAATGTGTTAAAAGATACTTGGATGTTATAGAATTTCTCTCACCAGTCTGCTAGCCATAGGGCAGTTTTCATGGGGAATGGACATGACCAAAGGAAAAGGGAAGGTGCAGAGATCTGCAAGCCCTTTCAGTGTGGGAAAGGGGAGCAAATGCAGCAGCAGGTGAACCGTTTCAAATTCCCCATTCTTTCTTATGATTACTGTGCAGGAATTTTTATCAATGATAAATGGTAAAGTATCATTTGACTCCCTTCTTCACTGGCAAATGTTAAGATCATATCAAAAAGTTTACTCATCATGACTGTATCTGTTTCCTTCCAGAATGCAGGGAGAAATCAACGCATGTAAATCAATAGATATTGCCTATCCCATAAACAGAATGAAAGAAACCACATGATTGTTTCAATATATGCAGGTAAAACCTCTTACAGAATCTAAATTTAAACATATGGACTTTAATGGTAAGAGTCGTGGAGAGGTTAGGTATGGATAGAGAATGCATCAAAATTTACAAGCTATATACAACAAGTCTATAACCTACATTTTCATAAATAGAGGAAAAAATATTCCCACTAAGATGAGAAACAAAATAAAGATAGTCCACTATTTGCATACATAATCCAAAACGACCTGAAGCCCTAGCTAAAGCAATAAGACAAGAAGGAAATTAAATGGTACAAACAGTGAAAAAACTCAAACTGTCTCAACTTAAAGATGGTAGGATATTATCATCTGTAAAGACTATAAAGACCATACACACACACACACACACACACACACACACACACACAAATATTACAGCTGGTAAAGACTTTATCAGATTATCAGCTTACAAAATTAATGTCAAAATTAATAATGAATATTGGAGTATAAAACTCATCAAGGAAAAACTCCTACTCAAAAGCCCTAGGATGGAAAATATGGTATATACATAAAATGCAATATTATTTAGCTATAAGGAGAAATGAATAATAAAAACTGCAAGTAAATTAATGAATCTAGAAAAAAGTTTTACCCATGAGGTCAATTAGGATCAGAAAAACAAATTTCATATGTTGTCTTCTTGTGTGTCTGTTAGACTCATGTATGTTTAAGTTGGATGACATGAGGAAGTCAGGAAATTAGATGTGGTCTACTGTAGATGGAGCCATTGAAAGGGAGGTAGTAAAAATATAGGTAAAATCAAAGGAGGGGAATACTGGGGGTCGATAATTTGGATCATGGATGGGTGGAGAATGGGGGAGGGAGAGATGCTTAATAAAGATGAAGGGTATAAAAGCTATACAGAATCCTATGACCATGAAATTTAAGTAAAATATAATTAGAATGGGCAGTAGAACACAGGTGACAAGAAATAACCTGGGAATATGTGCTGGGCTAAAGGTTTGATTGGCAATGAGGGTAAGAGATTAAGTGAGAGCAGGGAGTAAGGTATAACTGACCATAAACTAAGGCTGTAGGAAGCCCTGTGAAAAACTACTTTCAAATATGTACTACAAAGAGTTTGTTGTGAGGTTCCTGAAATGTGTTGGCTTCCCTCAGGGGTCATGTGGGTTTTTTGTTGTCTTTTTTTTTGGGTGAAACTCCAAGAACCAGGGACAGAATACCTTATCAAGTGAAAAAAACATCTGGCTTTCATTGCATTAGAAGGTGTGGTTCGGGGCATGGGTGATGGTGACACATTCAGTCATGGACTTTTCAATGAACTCATACAGTCATGGGCCTTTCATATGACAACACTGACTGACTAGGCAAGCTGTCTACAATGTTGCATGACGGTTATGTGAAGAACCAACCAGATTCCGACTGGGTGTGAGACCTGCTTCAGAGGAGGGATTTAATGTCCGATGCTGTAAATCTTGTCAAAAGCCTATGTCTGGGAAAGCCAGAGTAGATGAGGAGACTCTCCCAGTGTTATTATTTAGGTTTGTACCCATAGGTGTGTTCTGTTCTCAACGTTGGTGAGAGGATTCTTTCTTCAGAGGATAGTGGTTAATGCAGAGACTCAAAACTAGTTTACACAATAAGAATAATCTACCATGAGTGGTCATCTGTGGATGGGCCATTTGTGTTAAATTTCCCTATTCACAGCTCAGGAAAAACTGTGGAAGAATGGTCAGAAAAAAATTTCAGTTTTTCAATCTGAAGAGAGGTACTTTGAAATGTTCTTTCGGGGCATGATATAACGGATGCACAGATCAACTCAAAGAAGCTATGTTATGTGTCTTACATTAGACTTACACAAAAACAAGCCAGTGAAGATTCCAGCATGAATGAGGAAGGGCTTCCCAAGGCCCCAACACTAGCTGAGGAGCAGTTCTCAACTAATGGTTGTGAAAGGAGGAGACTCATTTATCTAAGGGCTTGTGGCTGCTGCCAGGTTGTTCTTATCCAATAGGTTTACTCACAAACAATCACAGATACTCAGCCCTAATAGGACTCAGTGGGTTTATTAATGTTTTTTAGAAGATATTAAGCCCAGAAGAATGTTGATGAGTACCAGACTGAGTTAGAGGGAGTCAGTGGTGTATGAAGGTTCCAAAGTATGACTGGGGAGAGCTGGGGGAGTGGGATGGTTGAGACGGAGGAAGGGTGGATATGGGAGCAGGGAAGAAGATACCTTAACTAAGGGAGCCTTTTTACGTTTGACAAGAGACTTGACTCTAGAGGGGTTCCAGGATGTTCAAGGGGATGTCCCCAGCTAGGTCTGTGGGCAGCAGAGGAGAGGGTGCCTGAACTGGCCTTCTCTCATAGCCACACTGATGAATATCTTGCATTTCACCACAGAACCTTCACCTGGCGATGGATGGAGATAGAGACAGAGACCCACATTGGAGCACTAGACTGAGCTCCCAAGGTGCATATGAAGAGCAGAAGGAGGGAGAATATGAGCAAGGAAGTCAGGACCAGGAGGGGTGCGTCCACCCATGGAGACAGTGGGACTGATTAAATCGGAGTTCACCAAGGCCAACTGGACTGGGACTGAACGAGCATGTGATCAAATCGATCTCTCTGAATGTGGCTGACAATGAGGGCAGACTGAGAAGCCAATGATAATGACACCGGATTTTGATTCTACGGCATGTGTTGGTTTTTTGGGAGCCTAGTCTGTTTGGATGCACACCTTCCTTGACCTGGATGGAGGGGGTGTCTTGAACTTCCCACAGGGCAGGGCACCCTGATTTCTCTTAGGACTGGGAAACGAGGGTGAAGAGGAATGGAGGCAGTGGGGGAAAGAATGGGAGGATGGGAGGAGATGGAAAATTTTAATAAATATATAAATAAAATTTAAAAAAGAAAAAAGAAAACATTAACTTTTTATGCATTAATTTTAAAAAAAAGTTATATTAAATTTAACTTTATTTGGCCTATGAAACATTATTGTGAAAATAGCATGATTTAAACAGTAGTATAAATTTAAATATTTACTTACAAATGGTCACTTGATTTTTCCACCACTGTATTGTTTCTGCTCTTCTTCTGAAGTCTGCTTTTGGTCTTCTATGCCAGCTTCTGTTGACAAGTGCACATATTTCAATAATCTAACCAAAATGAGCATTTAAATAAAAGCTATTCTTTTTATAATGATTAAAAATTAGGTAATAGAAAATACTTCTTTTCATTTTCCTAAATAGTAGTTTGTAAACTATATAGTTGGTCACACACTCCATATCAGAATGTGAAAGGTAGATGGGTGTTGCTTTCCCTATGTTGGCTTAGAATAGCTCAGGTAGAGAATGGGCTCAGCATACATATAAGTCTAACGTGTAATTTCTACATGCTTGAACCTTCATGTTTACAGAGAAATTCATGTTTACAATTAAGGTGCAAGAATATTTTTCTACCTGTGGTTGGAGCCTGAATGTAGCACAAGTGAGTGAATTGGGTTTAAGAGAAGGGAAGAACAGAGCATGAAAGGGTTTCAGGGACTTTTCATAAATGCTGAGTGTGAAAGTGATCACAGCCCAGACTAAGAAACAAAAGGTCAATAATTTAATAGGCACACATATCTGAAGCTGTGCAGAGCTGGACTCTCACCATCCCTTGATGTTAGATGTGAATGAGCCACATGAACTCTTTTCTGTTGTTTGTGTGACACTGTCTGACTTCTATTGCACGGTTTTCTATGTTGAAAGAGTTCATTTAGGTGCTTTGTGAAGTGTCATGTAACTCAAAAAATCAACACTATCAACAATAAAAAGATTAACAAAATTAAAACAAAAGTGTAAATATTTACAAATAAAGAACTAATAATATATAAGTTGTATGGTTCTGAGAACTTTTCATTTAGAATTTGCACGAATCGCTCTAGGAGAATTTAGGAAAAGGTTCTTATATATTCTAATTGTGCCAGGTAAGTACAAAAGAAAATGTGTTAGTGTCATATTGTATTATTTATATCTACATAAATGAATCTATGATTTTTCAACAGCACTGAACTAATTGCTACATACATTGCAATAGACAAAGGCACAGACAAGCAACAGCCTGAAGGTTCTCATTTACAAAAAGTGCACCCTAATTTATTGTGATATCATTTTTGTAACAAAACAAAATAAGGTAGTTCAAAACAACCCTCTTACACAGAGCTGACCCTGCTCTCTCTCATCTGCCCTGTGATGGCATGGGGAAAAGAAAGATTCCCTCACTAATTAAAATCTGCGGCAGGTGAGAGAACTGGTCTTGAAGTAAGGAAAGTGGGAGAAATAGCACTGGCTGCTAGAGCTGGCCCAGTTGTTGTGATGCAAATGAGCCAGTCCTGATGGCTGTGAGAGCAACAGAGGTGATCCTGTACCCATGTCCTTAACTCCCAAGGGATCATGGGAAGGATAGATGCCCTCCCCACTCCACCCTTTGTTACCTAACTGTGGCAGGCAAGAGTAGGCCCCAAGGTAATGAGAGTGAGAGAACAAGTCTTACCTCACACCAGCTAGGGCATACAGGAGAACATGCCCTGCACTCACCATGACAACACAGTACAGCTGACCTTGTGGTCAGGGTCTTAGGCCAGCCAGCACCGAGGGCATGAGAGCAGGAGAACTGACACTCCTGCCTCATATGCCTGATGCAGCAATAGGGAGAGAGGGTTTGCTAGCTTTTCTGAGCAAAACAGTTGGGCTGGTCCTGGTGATATGAGTGTGGGACCCATATCTGAGGGCCCAAGAGTAGGAGAACTATCTCTGCTACCTGCCATAGGCTGCATTAGGTGAGCTAGCTTTGGCAGTGCTGGAGAGCTCATCTGGGTAGTGACAATGAGGACAATCTAGTGAGCTGATCAACCCAGCTACTACCCAGGCCCAGAACCAGGACTATGAGTTGACTCACTCCAACATCCACGTGGTTTATGAACTGACGGAGCATGTGTCAGGCAGAACCTAACAGAACCACAATAGAAGAATCTCTAGGACAGGGCAATATGTCCAGGGGAGCCATGATGAGAGCCTATTGTTGGTGATGGTGGCAGAAACCAGAGGCCTCAGGCCTTAAGCCAAACCAATGACTCAGGGCAATGAACACTTGCAAGTAAAGATGAATGGACTCAAGGATAAATTGGTTAAGATGATGGAACCTGAATATTAAACACTGAAGTTGAGCTTACATTTATAAGTACTTCATAATGTTCTTGGGAATATTTTTAAAGCATGTATACTACTAAAGTGACTGTATTGCTTATATCAAATCCTATCATCATTATCTCTAGGATATAATTATATCATTGTGAGTGAGTGTTTGAAATGTCTTAACTGCTTTGATCAGAAGAATGTGATTTAGGAAATTTACCTGGTTGAAACTGATGTGGTTCAGACTTTGGTTTGGAGATCTGGTGGGCATAATCCCTCAGCTGAATGGAATTTGAAATGAGATATTTAATCAATATTTTGGAATTCAACCAATATGTAATTATTCAATATAAATATTAAAATGTAATTACCTCTGGGTGAAGACATTTGTAGGCCCACACTGAAAGGGAACGGATATATAATAATCAGTCACATATACAATGACAACTCCCAAAATACCTTTATGAAGGCTGTAAATGGCAATGAGCTCTCATTCCCTTCTTTCAAGACAAACACCTATTATTTTACTGGTTAGGATAGAAATTGACAAAAACATACTGAAATAGACCAAAGCAATCTACAAATTCAATGTCATCCACATCAAAATTACAACTACATTTGCTGCAGAAACTGAAAAAGAAACTTTCATCTTCATGTAGAAACATAAAATAACCAGGACAGCTAACAGAATTCTTAATAATAAAAAAGGCTGAAGGCATCACCATCTCAGATTTCATGTTTTATTATATAAAGAGCTAATGAAATAAAACAGCATAGTTTTAGCATAAGAACAGACATGTTGAACAATAAAATCAAATTGAAGACACAAACAGAAGTCCACAAAACAATCGACCCTTTAGTTTTGATAAAGAAACCAGAAATACACCTTGATAAATGACAATATCTTCCAGAAATGGTGCTGACCAATCATGGTGGCTGCATGAAGAAGAACACACATAGACCTGTATTTATTACCCTGCACAAAATTTAACTCCAAATGGATCAAATACCTCAATTTCAGACCAGATACCCTGAATATGACAGAACAGAATGTGAGAAATAGGCTTGAACTCACTGGTACAGGAAAAGACCTTCTAAAGAGGACATCTGCAACACAGGAGCTAATATCAACATTTAAAAAATGGGTCCTCATGAAACTGAACAGCTTTTGTATCCCAAAGTGCACCTCAGTAAGACAAAATCAGGCTACACAATTGGAAAGGAACTTTAGAAATTACATATATGATAATAAAGTTAGTATCTAAAATATATAGAAAAAAGCTGGGATCCTAAAAAACAAAACAAAACAAAAACTAAAAATTGTATTCAGAAATACTGAGAATTTTCAAAACATGAAACACAAATGGCTGAGAAACATTTAAAAATGCTCAACATCCTTATTCATCAGTGAAATACAAATCAAAACTAGTTGGAGATTTTATTTTACCCCAGTCAGAATGGTTAATATAAATAAAACAAATGACAGCTCATGCTTGTGAGGATATAGAGAAAATGAAACACTTATTCATTACAAACTTGTGCAGCCATGTCATACACCATGACCAAGTAGGCTTTGTCTCAGAGATGCAGGGATGGTTCAACATATGACAATCTGTCAATGTAATCCACTGTATAAAAAACTAGTGGAATGGTTTTGAGTTTCTCTCTATTTCATTTAATGTTAGCTGTTGACCTGCTGTACATTGCTTTTATTATATTTAGGAATGAACCTTGCATCCCTAATCTCTCTAAGAGCTTTATCGTAAAGGGATGTTGAATTTTTGTCAAATGCTTTTTTCGCAGCATCTAATGAAATGATTATATGGTTTTTTCATTAAGTTTATTTTTATTTAGTTTATTAATATAATATAAGTTGATATATATGTATATTATAAGATATAATATAATATAAGTTTATATAAATATATATAATGGTATAATATAATATAAGTTGGAGGATTTTTGTGTGCTGAACCAGCCCTGCCTCTCTGGGATGAAGAACCCAGCAATTCCACTCTTGGGAATATACCCAAGAGAAGACCAATCATACCACAAAAGCATTTGTTCAAATATGTTCATAGCAGCACTATTTGTAATAGCCAGAACCTGGAAACAACCTAAGTGCCCCTCAATAGAAGAATGGTTAAAAAAGGTGTGGAGTCAATTTTGCTAGATATTAGAATGGCCACACCCGCTTGTTTCTTAGGTCCGTTTGCTTGGAAAACCTTTTCCCAACCCTTTACTCTGAGTAGATGTCTATCTTTGTGGTTGAGGTGTGTTTCTTGTAAACAGCAGATTGTTGGATCCTGTTTTCGTATCCAATCTCTTAGTCTGTGCCTTTTTATAGGTGAGTTGAGTCCATTAATATTAAGTGATATTAATGACCAATGGTTTTTGATTCCGGTTATTATTTTGTGTGTGTTTGTGTGTAGTAGAGTTTGTGTGTTTCTTTTCTTTGAGTTGTGGTTGTGAAGGGTCGCTAGATGTCTGGGCTATTGTAGGCAGTCTTGGCAATGCTGGATTTCTTGGATTGTGATTTTCCTTCTATTACTTTCTGTAAGGCTGGATTTGTGGCTACAAATTGTTTATTTTTCTTTTTATCCTGGAATATTTTGTTTTCTCCGTTGACAGTAAACAATAGACTAGAAGACCAAGATATTAACCCACAAACCTATGAACACTTGATTTTCGACAAGGGGGCTAAAGGTATGCAATGGAAGAAGGAAAGCATCTTTAACAAATGGTGCTGGCATGACTCGATGTCAACCTGTAGAAGAATAAAAGTAGATCCATATCTATCACCATGCACAAAAATCAAGTCCAAATGGATTAAAGACCTCAACATTAATCAGACCACTTTGAACCAGATAGAAGAGAAAGTGGGAAGTAGTATACAAGACATAGGCACAGGAGAACACTTCCTAGGTAGAACCCCAATAGCACAGACAATAAGAGAATCAATGAATAAGTGGGACCTACTGAAACTGAGAAGCTTATGTAAAGCAAAGGACACCGTCAGTAAGACAAAAAGGCTACCTTCTGACTGGGAGAAGATCTTCACCAACCCCTCATCAGACAAAGGCCTGATCTCCAAAATATACAAAGAACTCAAGAAACTAGACAATAAAACTTTAATTAACCCAATTAAAAAGTAGGGTGCGGATCTGAACAGAGAATTCTCAACAGAAGAACTTCGAATGGCCAAAAGACACTTAAGGTCATGCTCAACCTCCTTAGCAATCAGGGAAATGCAAATCAAAACAACTATGAGATACCATTTTACACCAGTCAGATTAGCTAAAGTCAACAACACTAACGATAGCCTATGCTGGAGAGGATGGGGAGAGAGGGGAATTCTCATCCATTGTTGGTGGGAATGCAAACTTGTGCAGCCACTGTGGAAATCAGTGTGGCAATTTCTCAGGAAACTGGGAGTCAACCTCCCTCAAGATCCAGCAATTCCACTCTTGGGAATATACCCAAGAGAGGCCCTATCATACTACAAAAGCATTTGTTCAACTATGTTCATAGCAGCACTATTTGTAATAGCCAGAACCTGGAAACAACCTAGGTGCCCCTCAACAGAAGAATGGTTAAAGAAGGTGTGAAACATATATACATTAGTGTTTTACTCAGCGGTAAAAAACAATGACATCTTGAATTTTGCATGCAAATGGATGGACATAGAAAACGCTTTACTGAGTGAGGTAACCCAGACACAAAAAGAGGAATATGATATGTATTCACTCATAAGTGGATTCTAGCCATAATTAAAGGTCTTTGAGCCTATTAATCGTGATCCTAGAGAAGCTAAATAAGAAGGTGAACCTGAAGAAATTCATGTAGTTATCCTCCTGGAGATTGGAAATAGATAAGAGTCCCAGGTAACCTCGGGTGCATGAGGGGGTGGGTGGGAGGGTTGTTGGAAGGGGAGAGGGTTAGAGAGAAGGGAGTAGGGAAGGAATGGGGAAAGCTCAGGGGAATGGGATGGGAGGAGGCAGGAAGGATGTATATGGGATCAGGAAAGAATATATCTCAACTAAGGGAGTCATTTTAGGGTTTACAAGAGACTTGATTATAAATGGGATCCCAGGTCCAAGGAGAGATCCCCCAGATTGTTCTCTGGACAGTGGAGAGGATGCCTGAACCGGCCTTGGCCCATAACCTTACTGATGAATATTTTGTTTATCACCATAGAACCTTTATATGGCGATGGATGGAGATAGAGACAGAGACCCACATTGGAACACTGGACTTAACTTCCTAGGTCGAAACGAGAAGCAGAAGGAAAGAGAACGTGAGCAAAGAAGGCAAGACCAGAGGGAACCTCCATCTGAAGATGGATGGCGATACAGACGGACACCCACATTGGAGTACCGGACTGAGCCCCCCCAAGGTCTAAATGAGGAGCAGAAGGAGGAAGAACATGAAAAAGGAAATCAGGACCACGAGGGGTGCGATCACCCACTGATACAAGGGGACTGATCTAATGAGAGTTCACCAAGGCCAGTTGGACTGGGACTGAACGAGCACTTGATCCAACCAGATTCTCTGAATGTGGCCGGATTCTCTGAATGTGCCTGGCCTGGAGTCTTTCTGAAAAGCCATTGACAATGACACTGGGACTTGTTTCCTCTACATACACTGGATTTTTGGGCTCCAGTGTGTCTGGATACTCACCTTCCTGGACCTGGAAGAAGGGGTAGGAACTTGAACTTCCCATAGGGCAGGAAACCCTGACTGCTCTTAGGGATGGAGAGGGAGGAGGAGAGGGAGTGGGGGGAGTGGGAGGGTGTTGGGAGGTGGGGCAGAAATGGAAACTTTTATAATTTAATAAACTTTGGAAAAAAAGGTTCAGAACCTTGAAAAAAGAAAGAAGGTGTGGAACATATATACTTTAGAGTTTTACTCAGCAGTAAAAAACAATGACATCTTGAAATTTGCATGCAAATGGATGAAAATAGAAAACACTTTACTTAGTGAGGTAACCGAGACTCAAAAAAGAGGAACATGGTATGTATTCACGCATAAGTGGTTTCTAGTCATAGTTAAAGGACATTGAGCCTATAATTCGTGATGCTAGAGGAGCTAAATAAGAAGGTGAACCCAAAGAAAATCATATAGATATCCTCCTGGATATTGGAAGTAGACCAGATTGCCAGGCAAAAGTTGGGTGCACAGGGTGGAGGATGGGTTGGGTGTAAGGGGATATAGGTAGAGAGAAGAGAGAAGGGGGAGGATTGGGGAGAGCTTGGGGGAATGGGATGGGTGGGATGGCGATAGGGTGGATATGGGAGCAGGGCAGTAAATATCTTAATTAAGGGAGCCATTTTAGTGTTTGCAAGAGACTTGACTCTAGAGGGGTTCCCAGGTCCAAGGAGAGTTCCTCAGATGCTTCCTTGGGCAGCAGAGGAGACGGTGTCTGAACTGGCCTTGTCCCATAGCCACACTGATGAATATTTTGCATATCACCATAGAACCTTCATTTGGCAATGGATGGAGATAGAGACAGAGACCCACATTGGAGCAGTGGACTTAGCTCCCAAGGTCAAAATTAGGAGCAGAAGGAGAGAGAACATGAGCAAGGAAGTCAGGACCATGAGGGGTGCATCGACCCACTGAAACCATGGACTGATCTAATGGGAGCTCACCAAGGCCAGCTGGACTGGGACTGATGGAGCATTTGATCAAACTGGACTCTCGGAATGTGGCTGTCAATGAAGGCTGACTGAGAAGCCAAGGGCAATGACACTGGGTTTTGATTCTAATGCATAGACTGACTTTGTGGGAGCCTGGTTTGGTTGAATGCTCACCTTAATAGACCTGGATGGAGGGGGGAGGACCTTGGGCTTCCCAAGTGGCAGGGAACCCTGAGTGCTCTTAGAACTGGATAAAGAGGGGGAGGAGGGAAGGGGAAGGGAAAAGGGAGATAGGTAGGAAGTGGCAATTTTTAATAAATAAATAAATTTAACAAAACCTGAAAAGGCTTAAAAATAAATTCTAGACACACACACAAAAAACAACCTTGAAGAAATAAATTGAAGACAACACTAGAAAATGAAAAGATCTCCCGTGCTCTTGCATAGGCAGAATTAACATAGGAAAGAAGTAATCTTACCAAAAGCAATCTACATAGTCAATGTAATGCCCATCAACATCCCATCAAAATCCTTCAGAGATCTTGAAAGAACAATACTAACTTCATATGCAAAAACAAATACCTCAAGATAGCCAAAACAATCCTGTACAAAAAAAAATTTCTGCCACCATCATCCTGAACTTCAAACTCTACTACAGAGTTACATTAATTAATGAAAAGAGCCTGGTATTGACAAAAAAACAGATAGGAGGACCACACCTGATTTTTGACAAAAAAGCTAAAAATACAAAACGGAAAAAGTCAAGCATTTTCAACAATTGGTGCTGGTGTATCTGGATATCAACATGTAAAAGAATACAAATATAACTATATCTATCACAATACACAAAATCATGTCCAAATGAATCAAAGACTTCTCCATAAAACCAACCACACTGAACATCATAGAGGAGCAAGTGGGAAGTACGCTGTGAGACAACAGTCTTTTATCCTGTCCCTTGTATTATTTTTAATAAAACACTGATTGGCCAGTAGCCAGGCAGGAAGTATAGGTGAGGCAACCAGGCAGGAAGTAGAGGTAGGGTGATGAGAACAGGAGATTTCTGGGATAGGAAAGAGTCAGACTGCAACCATCACACAGATGCAGAGGAAGCAAGATGTGACTGCCTCGCTGAAAAAGGTACCAAGCCACATGGGTAACACAGACAGGAATTATGGGCTAATATAAATTATAGAAGTTAATAAGAAGCCTGAGCTAATAGGTCAACCAGTTTATGATTGATGTAGACCGCTGTGTCTTTCGTTCAGACTGAATGGCTGTGGAACAAGGTAGGACAGAAACCTGAATCAAAAAATGGCAACAACGTAGACAGTTAAATCCACTTTAAAACCTAAAAGGGTTTGGGAAATAATTCAAGACAAAAAAGAAGAGAGTTAAGCATGGCTTCTTGGTAGCATTTTCTCAGGTGTGCTCTGTTTTCTAGAGGCAAGTGCACCTCATTTAAGATAGACTTCCTGATTCACTTTGAGCTGCAAAAAACTTGCAGCTCTTTTAAGAAGTCCCACCACCAGACACTTAAAAGGTTTTTATGAATAGTTAATAGCATGCTTCTTGGTAGTTGCAGGGACCTTGAAACTCCATAAAGTTGTGGCAATAAACATGGCTCCAGCTGGTACCTCTACCATGAAGCTAGACTCTCAGAAAGCAAAGAATGGGCTGGATACAGCGGTCAAAGCCATAGCTTTAATCCTAGTCATCTTGCTTATCCAATTAAACATACATACAAACATACATACATACACACAAAACATACAGATTAAGGAAAGAATATTAAGAGCTGCAAAGCAAAAAGGTCAAGTGCTATATCCACGGCTGTCTTGCCAGTGTAGCAGAAATGCTGACTAGGCAGGCAAATATTGCTGGAGGATCAGGATCTGCGCTCCACGGAGAAGTGTTCTGGGCTGCCCCGTGGTAATCAGTTGTGGTGTAATGCCACCTGAGTCGCCATTTGTACTGACTCGACCTGACAGTACTTGGTGCTATATGTCTGTCTTTTCCCTTGTCTGTGTGTTCTTTGTGATCCTTGCATATTGCTAACACATCAGACTATTCCAGGCAGTTGCGGATAATAGCCAGTTCTGGAAATAGGGAAGTCATCATTAAAATAATTCCTTAATGATGTGGAGCAAAAGGAGTTGCTCTTATCAGGAGAAACCTTAGAAGCCTTCTGTAGGAAAACAGCTGCAGCAACACTAGATGTTTGCCTGAGAATTACGTGCAGGAGGCCTATGCAGCCTTCATTATGGCCAGAATAAACCTAGGCTAATTACAACATCTGACCCTGAGAGTCGGGGAGGGAAGAAAGTTGAGATTTATGGTATGAAACCAGATTCAGACAAGTTTGAGATCATGTCTAAAATTTCCTAGCAGAAAGTTTTCCCAGGAAGATAGTGGCCTTCTCCTCTCACACCCCAAGATATTCTGAGCACAAGGTCACTTAGCCCAGCCAGCCGCCTGGTACAGACTGGGCGAAAGTCCTTGTGTCCAAGTCAAAGCATTTTCAAAGATTCTTTTTGTAAACAGTTTTATGCTTTTTTATGATCTGATGATGTATGCCTTGCCAAGTTCTTTGTTTGTAATAATATAAAAACCTCACACTGAATAAGTAAAGCACAACGGCATGTCTCAAATACATTGAGAGTGGTCTGTTTGTCACTTTCCTCGTCATATCCTGATTTCTCCTGTGCCTTCACCCTGATTCCCCCACGGTCTGAGTGGCTCCCCTGAGCTGGTCCATAGCAGTCAAGTAACTTATAAAGGTAAACCCATCAGACTTACGCCGAACTTCTCTATGGAAACCATGAAAGACAGAAGGTCCTGGATAGAGGTACTGCAGAAACTAAGAGACCATGGATGCCAAGCCCAGACTACTATACCCAGCCAAGCTATCATTCACTATCAATGGAGAAAACAAAATATTCCAGGATAAAAAGAAATTTAAACAATTTGTAGCCACAAATCCAGCCTTACAGAAAGTAATAGAAGAAAAATCGCAACCTAAGGAATCCAACATTGCCAACACTGCCTACAATAACTCAGACATCTAGCGACCCTTCACAACCACAACTCAAAGAAGGGAAACACACAGACTCTACTACACACACACAAAAAAACAATAACTGGAGTCAACAACCACTGGTCATTAATATCACTTAATATTAATGGACTCAACTCACCTATAAAAAGGCACAGACTTAGAGATTGGAAAACAGGATCCAACATTCTGCTGTTTACAAGAAACACACCTCAACCACAAAGACAGACATCTACCCAGAGTAAAGGGTTGAGAAAAGGTTTTCCAAGCAAATGGATCTAAGAAACAATTCTAACCCCAGAAAGCCTACAAACTCATGAAAGCTGAACAGTCAACTACTGAATCACCCCTGGGTCAAGGAAGAAATAAAGAAAGAAATTAAAGTCTTCCCTGAATTCAATGAAAATAAAAACACAGCATACTCAAACCTATGGGACACAATGAAAGCAGTGCTAAGAGGAAAGTTCATAGCACTAAGTGCCTAATTAAAGAAAATAAAAAATTAATAAAAAAGGAAATTATGAGATTTGCAGGTACATGTATGAAACTAAAAGAAATCATCCTGAGTGAGATAATCCAGATCCAACAGTTAGCATTTGTCGTACATAAAATCTTAATGATGACTCTTACCTTGGTTTATTTCATTTTTTCCTGTATCAGTTCTACATGATTGGTCAGCTTTTCTGGAATCCTCCTCCAGTATATTAGGGTCAAAAACACTCTGTCAAATGGTATTAGTAATGAGTATCAGAAAGGTTTTATTTTTTCTATGAATATTCCTTGATTTCTGACTATAAGAAAATTGTACTTGACAATATATGCAGTAATATTTAAGACCATGATATTTGAATGGGAAATTTTATATATACACTGAAGTTTAAGTTCATCTTTCATTTATCATGGTATCCCATTATATACAAGGACTATAAAAGAGGAAATGCATTTATAGACAAAGTAATCCCTTGTATGCATATATTAATGATGACAATTATTTTTATGTTACAATACAACAAAGTAATATTTACTTCACAGTAAATTTGAAGGATGTTTATAAAATAAGTGTCGTATTCTTAATAGGGTCATTCCTTTAGTACAGGATTAACATGAAGTGTTATAACAATGACTCTTTGTGGTTAGGAATAATTGAAGATAAGTATGATGTTAAATGTATTTATATTATGTCATGTTGAGTGTGAAGGAAATAAGGTAGAAGATGCTTATTTTCACTAAATAAATCTGACAGAATTGATATATTTTGTTAATTTCTTATAGATAGAAAAAACTTGAACAAAATGATAAAGAAGACCAAAATATTTTTCTATATCATCTTTAAATAATAGTACTGTAATACAAAGTAGGCACACTATGCAAATGTTCCTCAGTGAACAAAAATAATCTCCAAATACATCATTGCCACATTTCCTACATGTTTTCAAAAATAACCAAACCTTGATTTCTCATCATCCAAGAACTTTACAAGTTCTGAGATGTCCATTATTCTATGTGCTCAATAAAGCCATCCTAATTGACATTCACTGAGTGGACATGCACTCATCTTCTAAGACATCTTGGCCTTCACGCTTTTATCTCTGATAACAACATACCATAACTGCTCCTACCCTGTACGAATCACCCCCACTGTCATGCTTCCTTTACACCAAAAAGGACCCATCTGACCCAAAAGAGTTGCTTTTACATGTTTTGTGTCCTATCACTATAGCATAGGCTTCCATCTGGAAGAGTCAGTGCTTAATTTCTCAGCAGATAGTAAATAGTCACTATAAAGATTTCTGTAAGTTCAAAGTTTTAAGAATGTCCTCATACTGCAGTGAGTATGGTACTGTGTGTTATGACCCTGGAAAGATCATGGAAAAGGGAAATATATAGTGTCTTGAATCAATGTGAATTCTCAACATTAATTCAATTCCTAATATATACATATTCATTATGGAAATTGGACTAGAATTAGTAAATAATTTGCTTTCATTGGATTGAACAAAATATTTTCTTTGTTCCTTCACAATTAGGCCTCCATTGTGGAAGCAAAAATTATTTTAATAGGCACTTTAGTTAAGTATATGACTAATTTATCTACTCAAATGAGGACCTGGAAATAATCCAATGACCATAAAGGAAACATTACTTCTTTGTGTGATTGAGTGTAATCATTATATCACAAATTTAGTTTATAAACCAATTATTTCAAATGTAGAGTAATGAAGCTCTCCAGCCATGTAAAAAGTTTAACATAAAACATGGATAATAATTACATAATAATTTACTGAACAACAAAAGAAAATGATTACCTGTGTGACTAGATTCTAAGAATACCATGGGTTTTGTAGTAGATAAAAGCCTTTCATTTTAATGTTAAATTATAATTTATTGATTGCATATACAAGCCTGATATGCACTTTACTTTGTCCTGTGGTAATATCATTAAACCAAACAGTACTAAGTAAGAAATTTCAATTTAAATAGTAACATACCAATTTTTGATGGCCTTCATTCTTATTACAAGCATTTTCATTTTCCAGCTTTAAATCTGGTATTGTTTCTACTTCTGCTTCTTCTGGCAAATCCATACAGTATATTAAAAAATACAATAGAAGCCACAGTTATATAAAGTGTTTTATGATAATATATTTTAATATATTAAATTTAGAAAAAAATTATTCAAGTATTTCAATTAAATGTATTCTATAGATTAATATTTAGATCCTTATATAAATGCCCTAATTATAGAAATATTAGTATATCATTTTATGGGCACTACATATTGCCAGGTTCAAGATATACAAATACTTGACCAATTCACCTAGAAATTAATATATATCACATAAATTACCACACTTTCTAAAATCCATAATGTAAGATGTCATAGACTTAAACACATTCATTATATGCTTGCAAGCATACACACAAACACAAGAACACTGGAAAAGAACTGGGAAATTATTTATTGTCTTCATTGAAATGAGAAGAATAATTTTAATGTAAAACCCTGCTACTGGAGATGCTTCGAACTTCAGACACAAGATTCGAAGGAATTGAGCTGGAACTGACTTGACTGCTTTCATAGTACTGTGCAAAACACCAAGAGTGATAAGCAGTCAATAATCCCACCAGCAGAAAAAGGTATCCAAGGTATCCCCAATGCTGTGATAGTGGTACTTTAATTTTTGGAATAACAACAGCTGCATCCTTGGTTTTAAGGCTCAGTCAATGAGCAATTCATGACTGGTACTGTAAATCTAGTCAACTGCCGATGACTGGAGAAATCATTGCCCCTGGGATAATATACAGTATCATTTTCTTATATCAGCATAGTTACTGTCTTCTAAATATGATTCCTATAACCATAGTTATATCCACAAATAATTGTAACAATTATTTCTCATTAAAGAAGTTCATTTAAGCAGCAGACAGAGGTATTACAGATATTTCCAGTTAGTCAAAGTGCAAGTGACCACAAGGTTTCCAGCCCCCACTTACACAGCCCTAAATCTAAGGCAAAGGGAAAATAGCAAAGGTAGGTGTGGATAGATCGTAAAATCAGAGGTCCAGCGCTTCAGCTGCTACATGGAATCTTCTATGCATGACTTGCATGTTGCTATCATGAAATTTCAAGAGTTTGATTTTTAATGAACACCTGCATAAGGACAACACTAGTTCATAGGCCAATATGGAGGAAGGAAATCTCACAAGGCACAAACCCTAGATGAAGAGCTGTAAGCAACCAGGAGCTCACAGAGCACAAATCGTTTGTTTTTTTTCCAGAGTTGATCTCTGTGAGAGGTTATGAAATTCCAGTGTCAGCACTAAACAAATGTAGAAATAAGCAATAACACACACACACACACACACACACACACACACACACACACACACGTGTCTATAAAAACAGTATAGACAAAGAAGTCACAAATTTGAGGTGTGTTTGGGTCACAGAGAATGTTGGAAGAGTAGTGGGAAGGGTGAAAATGATGTAAATACAAATACAAAGGTATGAAATTCTCAGAAACTAAAAATATATAAATAAAACAAAATAAAATAAAGGGCAACTCTTTTACTGAATTCTTATTTCAACTTTTGAGTGAAAGCTGTTGTGGGCTAAATTATTCATATTTCACTTCTGTTTAAATCAATATGAATTTAGTGATAATGTTTTAAACATAGTCCTGTCTAATGAACTTACAACTTCAGTGTGTGCATTACCTTCTAGGGCTTCTACATTTCTGTACTGCTTGAAAGCCAATGGTAAGTCATCTGCATCATTTTCCAGAATATTCTCGGGAATGTCTTGCTAAAATTAATAACAATAATGAGGCATCATAATGAGATCACTGCTGAATTTCCTATTTTGAATTCAGTTAAACTTAAGAGAAAAATTAAAAACTGGTATATTTTCTGCTGGGTGTGGTGGTGTATGCCTTTAATCCCAGCAGTCTGGACAGAGGCAGGTTGATCTTTGTGAATTTGAGGACAACTTGGCTTGCACAGTGAGTTCCATGAAAGTTGGGACTGTTATGCTGATAAAACCTGCCTTAAACTCCTCCTGTGTCCCCCCAAATCAGTATATTTTCATAGAAAACCATTTCCCGGCTCTTGAGATCAACTCATCTGTACATCTCATATAGTCACATAAATAATCAAACCTAAATCAGAATTAGAAAAATGCTCACCTTCAGAATTCAACAAGGCACTAAGCTCATGACATGGAACTTACATTCCTCACCAAAACTGAAATACAGTTTTAAAAGTACCTATTTAAGTGATAATTATTAATTTGCTTCCTTTGCCAATGTCTTATTTCAATACTAAATTGATTTTCTCAATAGAATTGTTTTTAAAATATATAGTGCTATAGTATAACAAGCAAATTAATAAAACTGGTTTTCTCTTTGGCAACAGGTATCAATTACAAATAGCTTTATGTTTAGGGGTGTTCTCTTCCCCTCTCAGTGCTGGGATTCTGTCTGACTGGAACCTGTGCAGGTCATCTGTGTACTCACACAGTCTCGGAATTCATACGTACATTGATCTTGGTCCTGTTGTGTCTGGAAGACACTGTTTCCTTGACCTTATCCATGACCACTGGCTCTTATAATCATTCTGCTTTCTTTTCTACATAACATTAAACATTAAAGGGGCAGGTTTGATGAAGACATTCAATTTATCACTAGATGCTTCAAAATCTCTCACTCTCTGCATATTGCTTAGTTATGGATTTCTATGTTGATTCTCATCTTCTGCAAGAGGAAACTTCTCTGATGAAGACTACACAAGATACTGATCTGTGGGTATATGGGTATGTCTTAGGAATCATTTTGTGCTGTATTTCTTTAACCATCTAGTCACATATTCTTGACCTCTTTACCAGTGTCAGCTATGGATCCCATAACATTCAGTGCCTAACTCTAATCATAAAGTGGCTGGTTATTTGTGCCACTATAGGACCGATATATGGTGCAGGCTTTCATGATGTTAAAATAGTTAACATATTTTAGTCTTTTTCTCAGTAAAAACATTAAAAATTGCCATAATTTTATATAAAAGCTTTTATCTGACTAATTGTCATTCTAAAATTACGAGATTTTGACAACTGCTATATTCTAATAGTTCTACACCACAAAGAAGAAATTTAGGGCAAGAATTTATCTCAAAAAGGTTGTGATTACCTGTGTCTCAAAGCTAGCTTTGTTCTCAATCCTTGAATACATAGAAATTAGTGACTCTGATTTGAGGTAATATCTTTAAAGCAAAAACACACAACAAACCATGTGAGTAATAGTCTATAAAATACTCCGAAAGTTTAGTTATTTGAATAGCAAATGCTAGTTCTTTATACTGTTATTAAACATTTGGTTTATAAAATTCTTTTTTTTTAAGTAGAGGTCATACTATTTTATTAAATAAAGAATTTAACCAAGGTTCTCATTTCCTTCAACTCAAACACTATAAAATGCTAATATTTCCAGATCACAGCTTATGTTGTTATTTTACTTTGAATTTTTTGTAATTGTCTTTGGCTAGGTTCTTTGTGGAGAATCAAAATGAAAAAGGATCTGAGCCCCATGGAGAGGCTGGTTATTCTCTAAAAATTCAAACTCTAAAATGTAAAAACTTTGAAAAAATTATCAAGTTCATTTTACTCAAACTTTGAAGTTATTTCAAAAAAGCTTCTAATAAAAAAAATCACTACAATTTGAATGGAGCTCAAGGTTAAGGAAGCAATTAGGACATTTACAAGAGAGGCAGGAACTCGTTATTTTGACAGAGTCAATTTTCATTCAGAATAGTGCTATAACTTGGATTTCATCTCTTGCTAACATGGTCCATTATGCAGTTGCTTTCAGGCTTTCTCAAAATACTGAATAGTTTTTAGGGGTCTTCATTGTTTGCCATGAATTCTGTCATTGTTGCCGGGTTTTATTCCTCAGGCTACAGTGGAGCTCTGCCTCTTGAAGAAAGAATGTCTTCTTTCAATTGTTAGTGTCTGCCTCCACTTCTCCCAATCTCTGCACTTCATAATAAGGATGCATACATACTTCCACAAATAGTGTCAATCCCAATCAATAAATTGTTAGAACCTGAAAATCATTTGTCTTGAAAAGAGTCTGTCCTGATGATTGCACCCAAATTACACACGTAATCTTTCATCTTAAATTTAAATAGAATGATTGACCAAAGCAAGGCAGAAGGAAACAGTGTCTTTATTCTAATTCTACTCATAAAACACTAAATTATATAGTTTTCAAATTCTAGCCTTCATTCTTTAGAATAGAAAAAAAGCATTATAATGAAACCATCACATCCATTCATCCAAAACAGCTAATTAAAGCATAAAAAAACATTAAAATGCTTAAATACTAAATTTACAAGTGAACACATACATTCTTAACATGTGTTAAGAATGCTCTTTTCAGGGAGACTCAATCATTACAACATAAATAACACAGTTATGCTTCCTAATTAATTCAGGCTTATTCAGTTACCACTGAGCATTTAAAAAACCTTCACATTTGCTCAGTTGAGGTTAGAGAATTCTGGAAAAGCAGATCCCTTGTTCTTTTGCCTCTCTTTCTCTCTATATTCTCTAGATATCTTTCTTCTATAGGATATAATTCCTTGTTCCATCTTTTGCAAGCTTCAGTGGTGTCCTCCAGCCTTTAAATATTCATCCGAGTACGGTAGAGATACCTGAATGTATAGGCTCAAAGAACCTGAGTAGCAGCTAGTTCCCTGATTCAGCCAAATAAGGAAAATGAGGGTCAGTACCCACCCCATGCCTAGATATGTTACTACATCTATAAAGATATTGTTGTTGCACACTTGAATCTGACTTGGGAAAAGATACACAGGAAAGCAAGCAGCTTCCCTGGATCACAGATAGATCTCATTGTGTTCCTTCCAGTTCTTGGAACACTCTCTAGCTTTCCCTCTATGATAGTTTTCTGTTTTCTATAAAGACATCACAATGGCTCAAGTAAATTTCAAAAGAAATTTGGAATTTTTCATTTCTTACAATTAAGAACAAAAAGCAACATATTTTTACAAATTATTTTCAACCCTATTTTAGCATGTAGTTTTAGGAGACTTTCAATATCCTCTGTACTTATAAATAACTTTATTGCCTTTAATTGTAGGCCCAAACACTAGTCCTTTTGACCACCACGCTGTTCCTTTTAATATTGCCCTTCCCTTGCTAAAGTCAGTCTTTCTACCATTGTGCTCACTTTTCAATGCCATTCTTCTTCTCTTCCACTTGGAACACTTGACTTGCTCCCCTATTCTACTGCTGAAACACTCAATCAAATACTGGTCAGCAAAGAAGACACTTTATCTTCTAGTTAATGAGCATGTGAACCAGAATTGGGCCATATGCACAGACTACTCTCTTTTAATTTGGGTATTCCGTCGGAACAAATATTAACCTAAGATGTTGAATCTAGTTTGCTGTGCTCAGGATATTTGTAGTAGCTTTCAAGATTCCTTGAACTCAAAATTTTTTAGAATCTGAGATTCTCTAGTAAAAACAGGAAGCATAATTTCCTAACAAAAATTCTCTATTACATGTAAAGAAACTTGAAGAAAACTAAAACGTACATTAATTTTTCAAGAAGCCTGATGTCATGTGGAAACTAAGACCTGATAAAAAGGAAAAACTTCCATCACTCAGGAAGTTTGAAGAGAAAGCAAAACTGAGAATAAATTAGTAATGCAGTTTAAGTAGATGATGAGTGTGATAAATATAACATGGCATATGTGCACATGCAATACAAATTCAATAAAATAATTCCAAGACTTCTCTCATCTTGTTCATTCCAAACCTATGACACCATGCACACAGTTAAGGTTTTTGGTTTTGTTGTTGTTCCAGTCTTTGATGGCAGAGTGATACACCCATGTACTGGCTACTAAATTAAAACTGTCAAAAGGTTAAAACAATCTATTGGGCTATGGATAGGTTTCTCAGAAAAACTCTTTCCTACAGTTCATGATAAGAAAAACTGACTTTCTATATGAGACCATCACAATGTAGTTAGAAGAGCAAGAGAATGCACAGGTTGACATTCAGTTCATGAGATGGCTACTACTTAGCTAAGTGATCATGAAATTAATCAAAATCTTTGAATGACATCTTCTAAACTAGTAAGACAATTACAATGATATAAATGCTTAAAAGATGATTAAACGAATACATAAGGTAAATCACATGGAATGCAGTCAAGATAGAATATTCAATCAACACTAGCTTCTTAATCCCTGGGTCAATTTATAACTTAACATTCATTCTTAAACACTCTAAAATCCTACCGTGATAAAGTGATGTATTCAGGCTGATTTTCTGTGATTGAAGCAATAGTAAAACATATTTCAGTATATGATATTGGTCTATAAAATATAACATTTATATCTGAAGACGCTACTATGTTAAATAATAGCAATGCTGTTGACAAATGATTAATGCATCGAGCGATATTCACATTTTTTAATTTACTGGATAAAGAATTAAAGAAATTATTAGCATTTGATACCCAAAAGTATCATTGACAGAATCAGTACTGACCATAACTAATTATCAAAATAAGTTGTTTGTTTGGAATATTGGGACTAGGAAAGAACATGCACACATGCACACACACACACACTCCAAACCTACTCCAAGTATGCAGCTGACAGCAGCATTTGCTCAGGTAAGGATGAAACAAACTCTCAGAGAGAACTTGAGACAATAAGCATTGTACATTTGAATCCTCCATAAGATTTTGAAAACTGTTCAGGACAATGTTTCTCATCAAGACTTGCAAGAAATTGGAATAAAGAGCTAAGGCAAAATCAGTGCTACACACTTTCCCTGATCTCCTCTGAGGTTAGGTAGCCATGAGTTTTTATATATCTGGCTGTAATTCTTGTTCTTGCCTATGATACAATAAGGCAGAAACTCAATTGCTATTGTTTTCCACCCTTGACCTCCTTCAGTACACATCCTTTATATACGTTACTCAATGTAGAAGTTTAAAAGTATGCCTTGGGAAGACAGGGTCAGAGAATGCTGCTATAGAAGATGAATTGTTATAAAATTATAGCAGCATACATAGTTATGTGCATTCCTATCACTTAATAAATCACTAACATTCTTTCTATTGGGATAGAAAATTAGCTTTCTTTTTATATAAAACACTAAAGACAACACGTAGTGAGATCCTACTGGCATTACTCTTGAGTAAATACTTTCACTGTGCTGGCTGGTTTTGTTTGATAACTTGACACAAGCTACAGACATTAGAGAAAAAGGAGCCTCATTTGAAGAAAAGTCACTATGAAATCAAGCTATGAAGTATTTTTTCACTAGTGAACAGCTGAGGAGGTCCCAGTCCAATGTGTCTGTGGCCATTCTTGGACTGACTGTGCTGGCTTCAAAGAAGGCTGACTAAGCCATGTGAGGTAGGCCAGTAAGCAGCTACCCTCAATGGCCTCCGCATAGGCTTCAGCCTCTGGGTTTCAGTGCTGCTTGATTTCCTCCAATGAGAGACTATGATCTGGACATGTAAGCCCAAAACCCTTTCCTCCATAACTTAGGTTTGAGTCATGGTGTTTTGGCATACCAATAGAAACCTTAACTAAGAAAGTCACCTTTGTTGGGTAAGTCTCTTCTATTTCCCATCCTGCTCCCACCTATTACTATTTACAAACAAACTTACCTTATTTTAGACTTGCCAGAGGCTTAGTTAGCATCCATATTTCCTAGTTATCTTTGCTTGGGAAGCTGCTTCTCAACTTTCTCTGCAAAGCCACAAGCCTACTCCAGAACTAAGGCTGTTTGTGAGCCACCTTTGCTGAATAAGATACTTCTTCCCCTTTCAATCCTTCCACCGTTTTCTGTTGTAGCCATCTCTATTCCCAAAGGCCTAATTCAAGATCAGCCACCTTTGCTGGGTAAGTCACTTCTTCCCCTTCCTATCCTCCCACCATTTCCCATTGGAGCCATCTCTACTCCCAAAGGCCAAACTCAAGATCAATGTTTAAAATAATGATAAAACCTGAAAAACTCAATATCCATTTTGAAAGCTCAGAGGAAAGCCTTACCAATATAAGGAATCAGAAAAAAAATAGAATATCAGGATGTGAGGATAAACTGGAAGATTTAGACAAAATGAACAAAAAATATGAAAAAATAAAAGGCATAGTAAAGGACCATGCAGGAAATTTGAGATACTATTAAAGAGTCAAATCTTTAAATTATAGGCATAGATAAGGGAGAGTAATTATAAGTCAATAGCATAGATCATATTTCTAACAAAATCACAGAGAAAAACTTTACGTAAGAAAGGAAAGACATACATACCAAAATACAAGAAGCAATGAGAACTACAACTAGACAAGACCTGAAAAGAAACACCACAAAGCACATGATAGTGAAACCACTAAATTTACAGGACAAGTAAAAATATTGAAAGCTTTAAGAGAAGAAAACACACAAGTCACTTAAAAATAAAAAGCCATCAGAATAACAGTTAACTTCTCAATTGAAACTCTGAGAGCCAGAAGAGCCTGAAGCAATGTACTTTAGATACTAAAAGACCATGTGTGCCAGACAAAATTCCTGTGCCCAGGAAAACTGTCTGGCGTAGGTGAAGAAGAAAGAAAACATTTCCATGAAACGATCTAAAATAGAGTATCAAACAAAAACTCTAGGCAGAATACTGAGTGGAATATTTTTAACTGAAGAGAAGAATGATTATAACTCGAGATTTTTAGAAACAAAACAAAGTTATAATTTAATGAAATATAAAGGGTAGTAAACAACATAAACATCAAGAAAAGAGACTAGACACTACACACACCTCTCAATAATGATTCCAACTATTAGTCACCTCAAAACACTATGAAAAAGACAAAGGCTACCTATATGGATAAGGAAACAAAATTCAACCATCTGTTGTCTACAAAAAAAATCACAGTTTTAATGTCAGGCACCATCTTACAATAAAAGGATGGAAAAAGTATTCTTAGCAAATAGTATTAGGAAACAAGCAGGTATTGCCATGCCAGTATCTGACAAAATAGATTTCAAACTAAAATGAATCAAAAGAGACAAAGGTACTTCATACTAGCCAAAGTATCAATTAATTAAATTACTTAATATATATACATCAAATTCTGTTGCCTCCAAAGTCATAAAAATCAACTTGATAGAATTAAAGGTATAGATAAACACAAATCCAGTAATAGTAGGTGAAATCAAAAGCACAATTTTCCTATTATATAGGTCATCTGGCCAAAAAAAAAGAGAAAAGAAACCTCAGAATTAAATGTCAACTTCATCAAATCGACCTGAAGGATAATTAATACATCACATAAACACCAAAGAATATGCAGTCAATAGCACATAGAAGCTCCTCAAAAACCGAGTACATACTGGAGCACAAAGAATGTAAAGAAATAAAAGAAATTTGAATAATGCCATGTAGTCTATCTGACTATTGTATAATAAAACTTAAAATTGACAGCAAAGAAACTATAGTATGCATATAAACTCATAGAGATTTAACATCTCATTACTGAATGGGTCAGAGTGGAAATCAAAAAAGAAAAAAGACTCCTAAAATAAATGAAAACAGATACAAAACACAATAAAACTTCTGTGACAATTCTGAGAGGGCTGTACATAGCCCTAATTATCTACATTAAAAGATCATAAAGAAGAAAAATAAATGAGTTAAAGATATCACTCAAGAATTTGAAAAAAATTCAAGAACACACCAAACCCCCAAACACTGAATGGCAAGAAATAATAAAAATGAATGCATTAGAAACAAAGAAAACACTACAAAGAATCAAATAATACAGTGAATCTAGGAGCTAGTTTCTAAGTAGACAAACAGACTCAAAAGACCCCCTCTTCAAAGAAGTGCCTCTTTACAGCAAGCAGAGACCATCACCACAATCTACAAGTAGACACAAAACAGAGGTCAACAGAAAGTATGGATACAAGTCCCAATGGATTCATCTTCATCACAGTTTCAGCATCTATGACTCAGGGAACGTCACAGAAGAGGCAGATGGAAAGACTGTAAAAAGTCTGGAAGTCTGTTGTGAAACAGTTTCTCATAAAAATGGCTGTATAAACAAGATCTGAGCAAAGACAATATCAAAAGACATGCTAACAAAGAAGGAGTAGGGTAATCTCAGAAGGTCATGCTCCTGGATAAGGAACTGGAGAAAACTAATGACTACTTAGACATGGGGAGTTACTGACACTCAGGGATGAACACTTTCTGTTGTACATTTGTTATTTATGTGAAGTAAAAATGAATTTAAATAGAACTATAATATGTGGGGTGGTTGGAAAGATGACTTAAAAGTTATGAGCACTTTTTGCTCTTAGAAAGAACCAGGGTTCATTCCCAGAACTTATGTGGTATTTTCTGATCATCCATTTCCACAATCGCCAGGCATGCACATGGGATACATGCACACATAAAATGAATACGAAACTCCAATACAGTAAAGTGTAATGACTGTTAAGGAAATATACAGCATGTTAACATTTTTCAAAGGAAAAATTATTCAGAATAGTGAATGGTCTCGGGGCGAGACAAAAGCAGGAAGACTGTCAACAACATGCTCATATAAAAATATTTTTAGATGCAAGTTCAATTTCCTGCACAAAACTGACATACTTTTTAGACAACACAGTTTTATACAACTTATTTCTTAAATAATTTCCACCAAAATATACACTTGGTTTTTAAACCTGCATAGAAGGAGCTGGAGAGAGGAACAGAAATTGGGAATGATGCAATTTTCAATCAAAATGTATTTAAAAAATTAAAACTCCTCTTTGAGGATGTAGGGTAAGGGGAACACTCAGCCTCTGGTGGTGGAAATGCAAACTTGTACAGTCACTTGGGAATGTAGTGTGGCAGTTCTTCAGGAACATCAGAATAGATCTATCTTAAGATCCAGCTGTACCACTAATGAGCATATTACCAATCACATTCTCTTATAGAAATCAGAACATTCTTCCTCTACCCTTTCAAATCTAAGAAAGGACTACAGAGAATGAAACTGAAGAAGACGTACCTGCAATGTCACTCTGTTGACTTGAGAGTAGCAAGTCCTCATACTCCAAAATTATACTCTCTCTTCCATGGACAGACATGGTGGTAATAAAGTTATTATTTTAATACTGACAGGAAAACATTCATCAACATATTAAATTCTTGAGTATTAAATAATATCAGACATTTTATCAGAACATATTACTATGTCCTTTAGGTTTATAAACTCTAAAACTTTTTATAAAATTTCTCACTGAAGAAGGAAAGAAAAGTGAAATGTCAAATCAGTGGCAATACAGTTCAAATCATCTAGATTATTTTGACAGGATAGATGATACCCTGTTATTAGAAGGAGTTCTAAATTTCTTCTACTGTGACAGTGTTTCTCTCAAGCTCCTGAGACAGGTGAAAGAGATCTGTCACAACCATAGATTGTGCTGCAGAAGATGATAGAAAGGAATCTTTGTATACAGATTACTATTATCAAAAAGGAATGCATTTCTGCACTCTTTCTGAAAACTTTTGGATCCATGTGATTATTTAGTACATCCACAAACTCATTTCATGGTAGAAAAGAGAGACTTCTCTGAGGTAATTTACTGGGATGATCTTCTAAAACACTGGAATGGTTGGAATAGGTGATAAGAGAACATTAGTTAACCCTGAAATAAAAATCTCCTGTACCCATTGCTACTTTTGACTATTCTGTCATTTTTTTTGCTCTATGGCAGGTGGAGTTAACTAAAATACCTCCATTCTGTAAGTATTTAAAATAATGAAGTCCCATCTGGTGTAAAGTACAACATTTGTAAGTAATTTGTGTCTACATTCAGTACTAGTTTGTATTTTAATGTGTATACTTACACTTTGCGTTTTCCTGCCACGGCGTACTGCAGTGAACTCCACCCAAATGCATCCTTTGTGGAGTGGTCCATACCTTTCTTCAGTAACAGCTCAACAATATCCTCAGAATCCCATTTAACTGCATACATGAGCGTTGTTCTAGAATGACAGTGGCAATTAAATTACTTACAAGAAGAATTTAATGTATCTTATCAATTCAGTGTATGGCTGGCATGTGTAGTATTTACTAACCATTTACTAACCATACTTAAGCATCTTGAAAGCTCAGAGTTCAGACTTTTAAGTATTATTCAAAGAAAAATGTTTAAAGCAAAGAGTCATCCAACCTATGCTTTGAACTTTTATATATACTAGAAGAAATGAATATTTTATAGTTATTAACATTGGAGCACTGGACTGAGCTCCCAAGGTCCTTATGAGGAGCAGAAGGAGAGAGAACATGAGCAAGGAAGTCAGGACAGCGAGTGGTGTGCCCACCCACTGTGATGGTGGGGCTGATCTTATGGGAACTCACCAAGGCCAGCTGGACGGGGACTGATGGAGCATGTGATCAAACTGGACTCTCTGAATGTGGCTGACAAGGAGGGCTGACTGAGTAGCCAAGGACAATGGCACTGGGTTTTGATTCTACTGCATGCACTGGCTTTGTGAGAAGTTAATCTGTTTGAATGCTCACCTTCCTAGACCTGGATGGAGAGGGGAGGACCTTGGGCTTCCCACAGGGCAGGAACCCTGACTGCTCTTTGGACTGGAGAGGGAAGGAAAGAGGGAATGGGGGAAGGGGGAGGGAAATGGGAGGTGAAAATTTTTAATAATTATAATAATAATAATAAAAGTTAAAATAAAAACGAAGTTCAATATATATCAGTAATTGAACTAATAGTGATCAATTAGTTTTTTTTCAAAACACTAATATGAAATCTATCAGTTTATATAAGATTATATGACAAAGTAAGATTCTAAGCAAGAAAAACATCTCGTTATCATGGGGACTATGAACCTGACTATGTATTGTTCTCTGCTATAGCCATTTCATAAAACCAATATTTTTAAATAATTGATGTTTTGTTGATAAATCTAGTATATTCCCATAATATTTTGAGAGATTTTTCCTAGTCTAGACAACAAGTAATGTATTAAAAATTCAAAACACAGTACCTTTGAAAGTCATCACATACATAAATGTTTGCACCATGATTTATTAAATGTTTAGCCATGAGAAGTTTCCTTTCTCTGAGTGCTAGCAGCAGAGGTGTAAATCCATCCTGTAATGATATCAATGAATAACTCACAATATTACATTATCCATAGCTGAAATGAAAACCATACAGCTGGCACCATGAACATAGTGCTTACCATAGACCAGAGAGCAGTTGTCTTTTTCTCCTCAGCCCATTGTGCGTTCTCAGATTTCTCAGCCTTGCAATTCTCCAACCCTGCTTACAGTTGTCACAAGACTTTTAGTCCTCTCTAAAACTCATGGGTAATACTTTGTCCCATGAACCACTGGTTCCTGTTACAGCATTTATCATAGAATTTTGGAGTCCTGTTACTGTTCCCATCTAAGGAAATATCCCTTAGAGTAGCTCAAGAATCCCAAACCAACACAAAGTAGCAAAGGTTTTCAATCCTTTGTTATATGGACGAGTTAAATTTTCTTCACTATGTCAGAAGTTCTTCTGCCTTTCAAAAGACATGTGGCTGACACCCCATTCCCGAACAGAGAAATTTAATTAAGCATTATGAAAACAACCCAGTTATAAATTCTTCAATTTACAATCTATCCTGTTTGCAAGATGTGCTGGAGTAATGGTCACCCAGAGATTGTGGGAATGACCAACCAATAACAAGCAAAATTTGAGACCCAGCACATGAGACAGAGTCCATGACAGATGCTTTCTGGATAACCAGAACCGGAAAACTGGATAGATAGTCCAGGAACGTAGGGTAGAACCAACCACTACTGCCCTCTCCCGCCACTGCAAAAAGACATCAATGAAAAGTTTCATAATAATATTATTTGCACAAAGCAGTGCCTAGGCCAGTCATCATCAGAGAGGTTGCCTCTGCAGCTGATGGGAGAGGATGTAGAGACCCACAGACAAACCTTAGGCAAAGAGAGAGCCTGGGTAAGAGGCCCCCTTTGGGTTCCTCTGACTGGCACTAGGAGAACCTTCCAGAAGAGGGAGAGGAGAAATTGTGGGAGACAAAAGTGTTGAGCACACACAGAGAGAAAGGCCAGAGTAGTGAACTAAGCAGGACCCTTGGGGGCTCAGAGACTTAAGTGACAATCACGGAGCCTGCATGGGTCTGGATTAATCCTTTGCGTGTATGCTACAGTTGTTGACTGTGTTTTAGGGAGACTCATGACAGATGGAGTGGGGATGTCTCTGGCTCTTTGCCTTCTCTTGGAACCCTTTTGTTTCTATTGGGTTGCTTTGACCAGCCTTGATCTGAGGTATGTGCCTGGTCTTATTGTATCTTGTTGTGGTGTGTTTGACTGATGTCCTTCAGAGGCCTGCACATTCTGGGGGCAGACAGAGGTGGAGGTGAGGGTAGTGGTAGTGGTGGGTGAGGACATGGAGGAGAGTGGAGGAACTTGGAGGTGTAGAAAGGAAAGGAAGCTGTGGTTGGGATGTATTGTATGAAAGAATAAATAAAAAATAAAATAAGAATTATGACAAAATTGTGGAACTGTTCAGCATTGAGAAATGTTTTCTGAAATACTGTTGGACAAATGTTCTCTGGGGCAAACATTAGCAACAGCAGAAGTTGTTTAGGAGACACAATTCTCAGAAGTTTGTGATGATATGGAAGTTTCCTGTGGACACTGAGGAAGCTCTGCTTGATTCTGTTTTGAGGAAGGACCAGGGTAACAATTTCAGGATCTTGCTTCAAATAGGTCACCAAAGAAATGGTCTCAAAATGAGTGAGACTTCAGAGAAACGTTGATTGCCTACTTTGAAATAAATTGTGTACTTTCGTAAAATGAAAACTGTCTTATAGTTTAGAAAGCCCAACACGATTTTTAAAAATGTTTTCAATTTAAATTATTGATAAGTTCCTTTTTTTTCTTTTGAAAGTAATTTTATTAAATTATAAAAAGTTTCCATTTACGCCTCTCCTCCCAACGCCCTCCCACTCCTCCCCTCCCCCTCCTCCTCCCTCTTTGTCCCTAAGGGCAGTCAGGGTTTCCTGCTCTGTGGGAAGTTCAAGTTCCTCCCCCCTCCCTCCAGGTCCAGGAAGGTGAGTATCCAAACAGACTGGATCCCAAAAATCCAGTATATGCAGAGGAAACCAGTCCCAGTGTCATTGTCAATGGCTTCTCAGAAAGACTCCAGGCCAGCCACATTCAGAGAATCCGGCCACATTCAGAGAATCTGGTTGGATCACATGCTCGTTCAGTCGCAGTCCAACTGGCCTTGGTAAACTCTCATTAGATCCGACCCCCTGTATCAGTGGGTGATAGCATCCCTCGCAGTCCTTCGTCATTTTCTTCCTCCTTCTGCTCCTCATTTGGATCTTGGGGGGCTCAGTCCGGTGCTCCAATGTGGGTCTCCGTCTGTATCGCCATCCAATGCCAGATGAAAGATCTATGGTGATAAGCAAAATATTCATCAGTATAGTTATGGGCCAAGGCCGGTTCAGGCACCCTCTCCTCTGTCCAGAGAACAATCTGGGGATCTCTCCTTGGACCTGGGATCCCATATATAATCAAGTTTCCTGTAAACTCTAAAATGACTCCCTTAGTTGAAATATATTCTTCCCTGATCCCATATTCATCCTTCCTCCCTTCCCCCCATCCCGGTCAACCGAGCTTTCTCCATTCCTCCCCTACTCCCTTCTCTCTAACACTCTCCCCTTCCAACAACCCTCCCACCCCCTCCCATGCACCCAAGGTTAACTGGGACTCTTGACTATTTCCTACCTCCTGGCGGATAGCTAAATAATCTTCATCAGGTTCGTCTTCTTATTTAGCTTCTCTAGGATCACGAATAATAGGCTCAAAGACCTTTAATTACGGTTAGAATCCACTTATGAGTGAATACATACCGTGTTCCTCTTTTTGGGTCTGGCTTACCTCACTCAGTAAAGCGTTTTCTATGACCATCCATTTGCATGCAAAATTCAAGATGTCATTATTTTTTAACGCTGAGTAAAACTCTAATGTGTATATGTTCCACACCTTTTTTAACCTATGAATAATATATTGTATAATTTCTATACCATCACTTCTCCATTTCCTCCTATTTACCGTCTTGCTCTAAAATCCATGATCTCTTTTTTATCAATGTTACACACTTACATGTATATGTAAAAACTAATTCCATTTATTGTTGGTGATTTCTTTGTCACTCCCTTCTGTGTGTGAGTGTGTGTGTGTGTGTATGTGTGTGTGTGTGTGTATGTGTGTGTATCTGCACACATGCACGTGCACATGTGTGTGCATGTATTTATGTCTGGACATTGGGATTGAATTTTTTCCTTAAAGAAAAATGAATTCTTCCCTCATCAGCAATACATTGTAGGCAACTTGTAATTTAGGGCTAGAACTTTGAAAATTTCCCCCATCAGTGTTTACATGCCAACTGGTGTTCTCATTGTACAGTTCTTGTTTAGGTAACCATATTATTGAAATTTAATAGGTACAGTATTATTTTCATATCTAGAACACACTATCTTGCAAATGGCAACCTAGTCTGTGGACCTCATAGTATTTGAGGACAATCCCCTTTCTCAATGCTCTCTGAGCCTTATGTGTGGGGTTATATTGTAGATGTACCCATTGTGCAAAGGCTGCCATTGGCATTTACTCTCTGCACTTTGACCAGTTGTGGATTTCTGTTATACTGTTATATGACTTAGGCACATACCGGCAGGAGGCAGTTCCTGTGTTTTAAAAGCCTGTATGAAAACAGGTGGGCCCTGTGTCAGCTCAGCGACGTTCCTGACCAGCAAGGGGCACCGATTTGTAGCAGACAGCCAAAGGAGGGGTAAGTTTGCTTCTGGCCCGCAGCAGGAGCCCGGCAAGGAAGAGTTCAGGCTTTCCACGACCCCCTAGACTCTCAGGGCACCCTGCAGTGGTGGCTCCACCCTGCTAAGCTCTCCTGTCTGCCATCCCAGCTTCCATCCAGGTATACCGCCCTATATTTATCCCTTCCCCCTGGGGCCATAAAATTTCCCCAGCTCATCTGCCTTGCGCACTGGGCCTGGGCTGTAGGTGCAACCTGGAAGGAGGGAGTGCCTGTGTTTCAATAGCCTGCCTGAGGAAAGGTAGGCCTTCTGTCATTGAAGTCCCTGCCCAACAAGGGAACCTGACCCAGTACCAGAAGATCCAATAGAGAGCATTTGAAGGAAGAGATGGGCAGACGCCAAGGCAAGACCTCCTCCAACAATCTGAAGAACAGCACCAAAACACCAGATCCCAACGACCCTACAATAGAAGGACTTGAGCACCTTAATCCAGAGGAAGTGAAAGAAAGTGCCATTATGAAAACATTAGTGTCCCTTAAACAGGATATGAATAACTCCCTTAAAGAATTGGATGAGAAGTATAAAAAAAGTTTGAAAATGAGTAAAGAAATGGATGAGAAGTATAACAAAAAGTTTGAAAATGAGTAAAGAAATGGATGAGAAGTATAACAAAAAGTTTGAAGAAATGAGTAAATTCGTGAATGATACCCTGGGAAACCAAGAAAAAACAATCAAACAGGTAAAGGAAACAGTTCAAGAATTAAAAACTGAAATGGAAGCAATGAAAAAAACACAAACCGAGAACCGGCTAGATATGGAAAACCTAGGTAAACGAACGGAGACTACAGAATCAAGCATAACCAATAGAATACAAGAGATAGAAGAATGATTCTCAGATTTTGAAGATACCATAGAGAAAATAAACGCTCTGATCAAAGAAAACAGCAAATCCAACAAATTCGTTTCACAAAACATTCAAGAAATCTGGGACACAATAAAAAAACCAAATCTAAGAATAATAGGAATTGAAGAAGGAGAAGAATTGCAGATCAAAGACCCAGAAAATATATTCAACAAAATTATAGAAGAAAATTTTCCCAACCTAAGGAATGATATTCCTATGAAGGTTCAAGAAGCATACAGAACACCTAATAGACTGAATCAAAAAAAAAAACATCCCCTAGCCATATAATAATCAAAACACAAATGGGGAAAGCTCGGGGGATTGGGATGAGGGGAGGGAGGAAGGATGGATATGGGATCAGAGAAGTATATTTTTCAACTAAGGGAGTCATTTTAGGGTTTACAAGAGACCTGATTATAAAGGAGATCCCAGGTCCAAGTAGAGATCTCCAGATTGTTCTCTGGACAGAGGAGAGGGTGCCTGAACTGGCCTTGGCCCATAACCATACTGATGAATATTTTGCATATCACCATAGAACCTTCATGTGGCGATTGATGGAGATAGAGACAGAGACCCACATTGGAACACTGGACTTAACTACCTAGGTCCAAACGAGAAGCAGAAGGAAAGAGAGCGTGAGCAAAGAAGGCAACAGCAGAGGGAACCTTCACCCGTTCATGGATGGAGATTGAGACATAGAACCACATTGGAGCACTGGACTGAGCCCCCAGGGTCTAAATGAGGAGGAGAAGGAGGGAGAACATAAACAAGAAAGGCAGGACCGTGAGGAGTGTGTTCACCCACTGATACAAGGGGACTGATCTAATGAGACTTCACCAAGGCCAATTGGACTGGGACTGAACGAGCACGTGACCCAACCAGATTCTCTGAATGTGGCTGGAATCTCTGAATGTGGCTGGCTCGGGGTCTTTCTGAAAAACCATTGACAATGACACTAGGACTTGTTTCCTCTGAATATACTGGATTTTTGGGATCCAGTCTGTTTGGATGCTCACCTCCTGGACCTGGAGGGAGGGGGGAGAAACTCGAACTTCCCACAGGGCAGGAAACCCTGACTGCTCTTAGGGATGTAGAGGGAGGAGGAGAGGGAGTGTGGGGAGTGGGAGGGTTTTGGGAGCAGGGGCGGAAATGGAAACTTTTATAAATTAATAAACTTTTATTAAAAAAAAGGAAAAGCTCTCCCCAAACTCATAACTAATGAGATAAGCAGTTTCAGGCAAGGGAATCCTTATTCGTCAAATAGATCTTTCACTTCCTTGGTTAGAGATACCCCAAGATACATTATGCTATTAGTGGCTTTCATGAAAAGTGATGTTTCTCTGATTTCCCTCTCTGCTTTTTTTTTCTTTTTGTATAGGAAGGCTACTGATTTTTTGGAGTTGATCTTGTATTCTGTCACATTACTAAAGGTGTTTATCAGCTGTAGGAGTTCTGTGGTAGAGTTTTTGGGGTCACTTAAGTACACTATCATATCATCTGCAAATAACGAAAGTTTGACTTCTTCCTTTCTGATTCGAATCCCCTTGATCTCCTTATTGTGTCTTATTGCTATTGCTAGAACTTCAAGCACTATATTGAAGAGGTATGGAGAGAGTGGGAAGCCTTGTCTTGTTCTTGATTTTTAGTGGAATGACTTTGATTTTCACTTCATTTAATTTGATGTTAGTTGTCAGTTTGCTATATATTGTTTTTATTGTATTAAGGTATGTTCCTTGTATCCCTAATCTCTCCAAGACCTTTATTGTAAAGGGGTGTTGAATTTTGTCAAATGCTTTTTTACCATCTCATGAAATGATCATATTATTTATTTCTTTCAGTTTATTTATATGGTGAATTACATTGATATATTTTTGAATATTGAACCAGCCCTGCATCTCCGGGATGAAGCCTACTTGATCATAATGGATATATTTTTGGATGTGTTCTTGGACTCAGTTTGCCAGTATTTTACTGAGAATTTTTGCATTGATGTTTATGAGTGAGATTAGTCTGCAATTCTCTTTCTTGGTTGAGTCTTTGTGTGGTTTTGGTATCAGGGTTACTGTAGTCTCATAAAAAGAGTTTAACAGTGATTCTTCTGTTTCTATTATGTGGAACCTATTAAGGAGTTTAGGTATAACTATCTGGTCCTTGGCTTTTTTTTGGTTGAGAGGTTTTTGATGACAGCTTCTACTCTTGATTCCTCCCTGTAACTTGAATTTAAGATCTTGCTAATAAAGATAACACCTATTTTAGACACAGGAATAGAAGGAGTCAAGCTGGAATTACCCATGTTCTTTTTCCTCAAGGGCTAGCTCTCATAGAAAGTGAGAGGGTGCTAGGTGATATAGGAAGGTCTTCTGTCTATGTGCTACTTTCATTTGTTAAATAAAGATGTTGCTTTGGCCTTTTGATAGTCCAGCCCTTAGGTGGGTGGTGTAGACAGAACAGAATGCTAGGAGAAAGAAAGCAGAGTCAGGCAGACACCATGATTCTCTGACCCAAGACAGACGTAGGTTAGGGTCTTTCCTGGTAATCCACCAAATTGTGGTGCTACACAGATTATTAGAAATGGGTTAATGAAGATGTTGGAATTAGACAATAAGAGGCTTGAGCTAATAGGCCAGGCAGTGTTTAAATGAATACAATTTGTGTGTTGTTGTTTTGGGGAATAAACTAGCTAGCCACGTGGCTGGGAGCCGGTCTGCGGGAAGCAGTCCGCCACTCCTTTTATAGCTAGGAGGCATGCCCATGAAGCATACTAATCTTCAGGTATCATAAATTTATATCAAAATCACCAAGAAATAATGATAGTAGACTCAAACACCTGTATAGGCAAAGCAGGTGAAATGAGGAGCTACTGCTGTGTTGGTTTGCAAATAGAATACACTTGGATATTGGATAGTGGAAGTGTCCCCTGCAGGGAACTATTCAATCTAATTGGTTCAATGGAGATAGGACTTGATTTTTTAAGATAAGGATGAAGTCAAAGTTTTCAAAATTCTCCTAGAGATAGAATGTGCACTGAATTTGCAAAAGGTATATATGGCCGCACTGTCTCCCAAGCCATCTAGTTTATTTATTAAAATTTGATAAATCCTTTGCTGCATGTGAACACATCCATTGATAAGTATGCAAGTATTGGTAGCGCAAGCTATCTTACTGTAACAGACCCCGAAATGTAGTAAAGTCATTGTGGTGATTATTTTTAATTACCACCAACATCAACTAGAGTGATTTAGCAAGAAAAATTTTGGTGGAGGGATTGTCCACATCAGTGTGACAAATGGACATCACTGTGTAAATTACCTTGATGGTTGGTTCATGAGGTGATCCCATACACTGTGCTTGGGACCATAGCCCATTTTGAGAATAGAGCTGTGTAAGACTTCAGAGGGCCAGCTGAGTATTAAGGGAACAGGCAGCATGGATTCATCCATTTCTAGCCCTCTTGAGGTTACATGAGATGTGAATAGCTGTCTCAAAATTCTGCCTTTGTGATTTTTCCAATAATATGTAGTAATCTGGAACTGCACCTCAAATAAACCTTTTCGCAAATGCTTTCAACATATGCATAAAAGCAGGTTGTATTCTCTAATACTTCTTTCAAGAAGTCAACACTTTTTCCCCATTTAAAATCCTGTTTGGAGAGCACTACACAATGTGTTTTGATCACATTAACCCCATTTCCTCAACTAATTCCCATATTCAACCACTTTTCTACTCACATATCTCTCTGCACTCATTGATAAAACCCTCTCTCAAGTCTAGGTGCTCACTGCAGAAAATCACGGGAATGACTCTAAGAGCCAGAGAAACTAGATGACCACAAAGATATGGTGTCTTCTGCACACAACAGAGCAGATAGGCACATGGAGTGATAGCCATTGTGAAAACATTCACAAGAACTGCGTAAGCTCAAGCGGCACAAAATTCAGTGTGGACACAGGAATTTAGCATGAAGTTTTGCTCCAAGCTGAGGCCTTATTGACAGGTGATAGATGCTGGGAGGGGATAGTCATTTTTATTCATATGTATGGTCTCTGGTAGCCTAATCATGCTTCAGTAGATGGTCATATAATTACAAATATATGGTCTGCACAAATGACTCAGTGGATTAGAAAACTGTTGTAAGGAGGCTGCTTGTTCATTTCCTTCTCCTCAGACTCCCAAAATAATCACACAGAAACTGTATTAATTAAATCACTGGGTGACTCATTAGCTCTACCTTCTTATTGACTAAATCTTACATCTTATTTAACCCATATCCATTAATCTGTGCATCATCACGAGGTCATGGCCTTACAGCAAAGTTTCAACACGTCTGTCTCCAGTAGCGGCTCCATGACTTCTCCCTAACTTCTCCTCGTTTCTCCCAGCATTCAGTTTAGTTTTCCCCACCTACCTCTATTCCCTCTCTGCTCAGGCCCAAAACAGTTTTTTTATTATTAACCAATGGTATTTTCAGCATACAGAGGGGAATCCCACATCTGAAAACAAACAGTAACAAAATATCAATATTTAAATGAATACTAGTCAAGCTATTTGAAAGTATCAGTCAAGGAATACTTGGACTTAGAAACATGGAAAATTGGCCCTACACATGACACTGTTAAAACACATGATTTTCAAATGCTTGGGAATTTAGAAAAATGTTACCTTTGTAGTTTCCTCAATGTTTCCCCCAAATTCAAGAAGACTGCTGGCAATAGTGACAATCTCTGGCCTGTTTACATACACTGCCTGATGTAATGCTGTTTCTCCCTTAGAATCTTTAATATTGGGATCTGCTTCATTATCAAGGAGGACAGAAACAATCTTTGTCTCCCAGCTCTGTACAGCCTGTGGATATTGTAACAAGGGAAATCTTATCCATACAAAGAATTCAACATAAACGTCCCCCTAATTTACCCCTTCACCATGATTTATATTTAAGTGACTAATTTTACTTTCATTTTAACCATTTACATAAAATTCATTCCTGAAATTGAAGACTTTGAACTACCTTCATTAGCGGTGTGCACTTTTGATCATCAAGTGCATTAACGTTGCATTTATTACGTAAAAGGAAATTAACCAGATTCAGATGGCCATAAAAGCAGGCGAAATGGAGTGCAGTTCTGTAGAAATGAGAGATATTTTTAGTGAAATTGTAGGGAATGATGTCAACATACACAGTCACTGACATACTTGCAATTATATAGCGTTTAACTCCTCTGACCCATAAACCAACATTTTTTTTCTAAAATTATATTTATTTGCCCTTATTATTTACTATATTAGAAAAATTCACAGTATAGAACTTTTATAACAGTGTGAATAAAATCCACAGCTCCTGCAGCTAGGTGCTAAGAGCAGCCTATTGGAACAGAAAGAACTGACTATTGGGTTGAAACTCCTGTCTGTTCTAGGCTGTTTTACCAAACAACCACTTCTTCACCTTTCTGAGTTGTGATTTCCTTGTCCATAAGCTGGGTGTTAAAAGAATGTCTCTTCTATCAAACTAGGATACAAAAATAAGAACCTTTGCAATGACTCAGAAAATATTCTTGAACAGCTAAACATCTGCTTAGTGTTAACTCTGAAATAAATACATTCCCGTTCAATGTTAGGTCCATTATATCTATTTTGCAATTATATTAAGGCCTACATACTTCATACAGTCTAAAATAATCCCTTCAAAATTTGAAACATGGTCTACTTTAAATTTATACTCCTGCTGCATCAGCCTGCAGGTAGCTAGGGTTGTAGATATGACACAGTACCCAGCTTAAGAGTCTCTATTCTCAAATTTTAATTCACTTAAAATTGGAAAATAATTTACAATTTGTAATGTAAAACCATCGCCAACACTTAGAAGCAATTCTTAATACACAAGTAGAATGTCTTCATGCAATCCATGATGTCTTAAAATAAGTGAGAATGTGACAGATATGCATAGAATTCCTAGTCTTTACACTGAGGTTCAAGAAATTTAACTGTGAAATTACTATGGATAATTAATAGCAATAATCTAGGTGCACAGGAGGCTTTGCTTTAAGTTTTAAGGAACTTTTTAAGCCAAAGGAAACTTGGGGTTTAAATAAGTGTGACTCATTCTTGACAATAGTTAAATTCACCATATATATGTAAACCAGATATTTTCTATGCCTAATGTCAGCATCTAATAGCAAATTTCACAAGGGAGATTTAGGAGTCCTTCAGTTGGACTCACATTGGATAAGCAAGATGAGTTTGTTGCTCTGTAAGTTATGAAACTCCCAACAAACTTTGTTGGCCTCTACCAGGAGTAACAAAAGCTGTCAGAAGGAACTTGCAGATAAGCTGGAGCTTGTAAGAAAACGGTGATATGAAAACTGTGGCTGAACAAGACAGCCCTGAATAACCCCTCAGAATGATATGACGTGAAGCTTAGGAGAAATAAGAAATATCAGGCTTCTATGGAGATGTGAGAACGGCATCCCTAGAACACCAGCGATGACAAAGAGAAAAGGAAAGGGAGCAGCACAAAGCCATCTTTCAAATGAGTAAGGAATATAAATGTCAGGACTCATTAATATAAATTCACATTGGATTTTATATGGACGGAGTTTAGGTGAAAGAAGATGTAAGCATTACAGCTCAGATGGAAAGGTATCCTGGCAGTCGAGAGTGAAGAAATACCACAAAGTCAAAACATACAATGAAGTCACACAAGAGATTTTTTGGAAGGAAAATAAGAACCGGGAGGGTGGCCTGGCAAGAAACAGCAAAGGAATGAGCAGAAGGCAGGACTTATACCGTTTCTTGAGGATGGGAGGTAGAAGTTTTCAGGGAGATTTCCAGGGTGGGGATTGGTGGGATTTTAAGTGCAGAGACTGGGCATTTTACTCTGTAAGGTGAGGGCACGGTCCAGCCCTTAGGGAAGTTAGAAGTTATAGTGTTCTATGAGTTTAACCTGGCAGCTGAAGGTCCTCAGTGGAGGGGCCTGGCTGCTCATGTGTTTTGAGGGACTTACATAAGACATTTTATGAGGAACATTACCTAAATTCCACACTCTCTACAATTAATTTTATAGCATTGTTTATTGTGTACATTGAAGTTCAATCATATCTTTGTATTTTGTTATGTTATTCTATTGCATGGTCAATAAAATACGGGGGAGTTATGGGTGGATGATAAACCTGCTGGAGATTTGGTCTTGTGCTTCTCCAGTTCCAGAAGATGATCTGGACACTGGACTTCTCTGTGGTCTCAGGTGCCACGGAGACTGCAGCACAGAGAGCGCAACTGGGAATTTTCCACACTGATTGTCCGCGATGGAGCTAGGGAAGGTAGGATTCTGCCGTCACCCAATTTCCTCATGGCCTCTCATCCTTAGCTTCCAAATATTCTTACCGATTCCTTTCATCCTTGTCATTTACGTGAAACTTCTTCTTAGAGATAAGGCGCAGCACCACCTTGCTCCTTCCTTCACAAACCGCTTCATGGAACTTATTCTCTGGGTCATAAGGCTGTGCGTACCTATCCTCCGTCCAACAGTCACAACAGGACAAGCTCCCCTTTCCAATACTCGAGCCATCACAAAACCCCAAAGGGGTTTTTAGTTCTTTCTTAGAGCTGAAGAACTTCCTCAAGGTCGAGAACATCACTGTGGCTACCTTTTTGTCAGGCCAACACTAATAACTTTAAATACGAACTTTTTTCCACTGGTTGTCTAACAACTGGAGCCTAACTTTGTGAATCCCAGAAGTCATAAGATCTGATTTGACCAAACAGAAGCTGACAGTTACTAACAGCCATTGCTAAGCAACACTGGAAAACAAAAGCATATCAGCACTTCCTCGAGGGTAACTGACAGCTCAGACCAAATAGTGCTCACTGCGCATGTGCAGTGTAAACATGTAAGTCTATGTTTGTCCTGCAAATTCTTTGTCTCTTCCTTAAAGCTGAAGGATTCCTTTATTCCCTACAGTAATCTTCCTTGGCAGTTTATTTGTTTGGGGAACATAATTCCTCATTCTAAAATCTTTTTTTTTTCACTAGGTCATTGGTGATGGTTACCTTACCATGAACATGCAGCTTCTCTTTAAGCTTCTGTCTGTGCGCTTTTAGTTCTGTGTTCATGAACTTTTCAGTGCTGTGAAGAGCTTTAAAGTCAAACTATCTGTGAGCTCAGGAGTGGTGCCACATTGTTTTAACATGATTATAATGAAATAAGGAAATGTCACTTCCACCCATGGCTGTTGTGGTTCCAATTGTCTTCTCTACAGCAGGGTCGCATATTTCCCTTAAAGTTGGGACCTTCTGTTTTTATTTCATAGAACTTGTTTTCTATGCTCTCAGTCTCTCAACAATATTCTCAATATCAGATCTTTAAATTTGGTCTCTGCAGGGCTTTGAATGAGAACAGCCGGTATATCTTCAAATATTTGAAGACTTGGTTCCAAGTGGTGCTGCGATTTGGAGACGGAGCCTTGATAGAGGACATCTATCCCTAGAGACAGGTCTTGACTGTTTACAGTCTCTGCCCACTATTTGCCCTCTGCTTCCTGCTTGTGGTTGAGATAGGATCTCTAAGCTTCCTTTTCTTGCTACCATGCCTGCCACTTGCTGTTAACTCTCCCTACCATAGAGCAGCAATGAACGTGACTGAGAAGGCATGAATGAGATAAAGGTCTGGATGGGGAGGTCATGGGAGATTCACTGGGCTAGAGTCTGGAGAAGGAAGTGGGAAGCTGGGCTGTGTAGACTTTTTGGTTATTTTGCATTGCATAACCAACTAGAAGGTTTATCCATGGAAAAGACTAAGTCTTCCTCTTTCAGTAGTCATTAGTTGTCTATTGTTCAGTATTTTTTTAAGTTTTAAAATATTTATTCTTTAGAATTATGTATTTTTGTTAACATTAACAACAGTATTGCTTTTCAAAAATTCATACAAGATAGTTTGATCATGCTTTTCCCTTCCCCCAATTATCCTGGATCCTTCCTCTACCTGACCCATCCAACACTATGTTCGATCTTTTTAAAATAGCACAAAACAAATATCTAAAAAAATCAGACAAAATACAAAATCACAAAGTGTCCACCTCACACATACCAAAAAACACGTAAATTATTTTTTTTGTTGTCCAAATAGACTTAGACATTGGACTTTACTATACTTTATCATACCCAGTTACTCTCCATTAGAGAAAACAGACTTTCCTTTTCTTGTTGGTCTAAATCAAACATATCTTCTCTTTAAGATATGGGAATCTGTGTTCACTTGATCCCTCAGTACTAGAGCTCCATGTAGCTTGAACCTGTGCAAATGTTGTGTGTTTTGCCACAGTCTCTGCAAGCTCATTTGTGCATCAGTGCCATTGTGCCTAGAAGACACTATTTCTATATTTTTTTCATTTGACAAATTTTGTCATGAGTGAATATATTCTTTTTTGTGTGCATAGATTCTCTTTGTAGGATATATAACATATTAATACGAAGTTAGATATAGGGAGATTTTCACCCTATGGTTGAGAGGTTACCACACTGGTCATATGCAGTTACATGATGCATGAAGAAATGAATCACCATTGTTTTTCATGACAGAGGTTTGCATATGAAGCATTCTGTACCTATAATGAAAAGCACACACTTACTATTGCATTTTTAAATCTTATTGTGTATGGACAAAAAGCATGCAAAAGGTTTTTTGAAATGAGGCACATAAAACGTTGGAAAAAATCCCATCCAATAATAAAGTGTTGTCTGACACATGGTTCTTATAGAATGAATAGATTTTATTTTGTAAATACATATTTACTACTGCACACTATTGATCTACTTTCTAAATATGAGGTGCATATCAGAGCATTTAAATTACATAACTGGATGAGAATGTGACGAATCCTCCAATCCACAATCTACAGTTTGGTAGTATCAACCTTTCTTCTGAAACAAACAATTTCTCTTTTACAAGCACATATTTCCTCTGGTTCTGTATAAGTATGTATGTGTTGTGGACAAGTCCTTTGATGCATTTATGTAATTCCATTATACAAATAGAAAAAAGTAAGAACTATTCATTTGATTTGAAAAGTATACTTGAGTATCTTTTATCTAGAATAAAGGAATCTATTTTCCAACTTCATAGTATTGAAAGAATACTTAAAGATGCTTACTCAGCAGAATTTGTAAAGATGTGGCATTCTTTCAGTCCATGAGATACAGTCTATCCTAAATAGTTCATCTGGATTTTACTTCAGAAGTAGATATTCTCTATTTTGCATTATAGGTCTATGTGCATTTTATTGTATACAGCTTATTAGAGAATATGTAAACGCAGTTATTACAGAAGTGGAAAAGAATGTCTGTCCTATTCCAATCCATTAGTCAACTTTCATATGATGCATCACTAATATATAAGAAACAGACTCATCTTATGAATGTACACTCCTTATAGATCATTTGGATTACTTGGGTTGGTGAGGAGAAAAATATGTTTCTGAAATGCAGAAACAGAGATGAAGGAAATTATAGAAGAACTTTCTATTTCACAGGAGAAATTTTATGTTTCACCTAAAAGGAGAAATTTTATATATATATTAACAATATGGAGCTAGTTATGCAATTATAAAATTAATCTATAAGTATTCACAAATTTAAAAAAAATCCAGTATAGACATCTAGAATACAATTCCTACACTTATGGCTCAGGGAACAATGCTGGAAAAGAGGTGGAAAGATTATTATTTAGAGTACCAGGAAGTCAGCTAAAAGGTGGTGTCTTCGCTGTGACAGGAAGGGTAGACCCATGAAATCTCAACAATATGGCTGCTTAAACATGACCTGGGCAATTGAAACATTTGTTGACATGCTATCACTGATGGAGAAAATCTTGTGGGGGTGCTCATTTCTAGATGAATAGCTACAAGGAATTAATGACTACTGAGAGACAGAATTAGTCTTTTCCAGATATGAACACCCTGACAGTTTATCCAATACCATATTATATAGTTCTAAAAAAGATATGAATAAGCAATAAAAAGAACCCAATAAACTATGAGCGTGTGTGCGCGCACTTGCACACACACACACCTATATAAATGTAACTGGGTGCTGCAGGTCTCTGGCTCAATAGGTAGGGCTTGCAATCCTATAATAGTAACTGGTTAAAAGTCTGGTTAGAAATCTTTTGGATCTGTTAGCAAACAAATCTAGAAAAGAAGTATATGAAGCAGGACACAATTAATAGGATTAAGCAAAAGAAGGGGAGATGGGGTAAGAAGGGTAGCATCCAGGTCCATATTTGATTATCAGTGATCCACTGGCCAGGGTATCAAGCTGTTTATTTTTTTTGAAGATCCATCTAGAGTTGTTGGATTTTGTCTTTTATTATACCTAACTGGTTAAAACAGAAACAACATTTCTCCCTGAGGAAGAGGCAAAGAACACTACTCTCTGCTGTTAATAAATCTAATTCTCTCTGCTTTGGAAGTACTGCAGCGGCCAGTGAGTGTATTTAATCCTGAAGAGGAAGGATAGCCTGAGCCACCCATTGGAAATACTGGATGAATTTCCAGGAAAGCTGAATGTAAACAGCTAGGGAAATGGTCAGTTCTTCTGCTCCAGTGGCTGTACCTGCAGTTATGGCCAGGCTGCTAGGAGGGTATGAACTGAATTGCTCAATTGTTGTGTTGTGTTGTGTTGCTGTGGACCTAGTGATGGCAAGGGTTCTTCACTGGGTACCATCCCAAATTTTGGAAAAAAGGGGACACCATGGCATAAACCCCAGAACACCTAGTAGGTAGGCAACAATAACATTGAGTGCCACAGAGAATCATGGCATTATGAATGTTTGAACATAGGGGCTGGGTGGTGGAACTAAGGGTTATATTATTATTACAGTGTGTGGGATCCACAGTGCCCACAGGATGTTTTATTCTTCCACTTGATAGCTAGCAGGAGCTGAGTAGGAGAACAGGAAGTACAGAGAAAAGGCTTGGAGTGGAGGTGAGGGAAGGCTGAACATGGAGAGTCTCTTTCTATTTCCCGGATTGGTCACAGTAATTGGACATTCCCAAATAATGTTGAGATCTAAGGTGCTGTTATGAAGCCTTTTAGACTGATTATCTAAGGGGTATTGTGGCCAAATTTGAGAGAGGCATCCTAGGAAAGAATGGGAAGATATGAAAGATGCCACTCCCATGGATGAGAGAAGAAAAATGCCATTGCAGCCTTTAGTCATGGGCATCACCCAAGTCTCAGAGAGGGCTGAATGAAGGCCAAGCTATTCAGTGGGTCATTGCTACACGCAAAGGAGGTCAGGGGCTTACCCTGGTTAACCCAGCAGAAAGAATTAGTGCCTGGTCCCATGAGCTTTCTGAAAGGTGAGAAGGTGAAAATGAAAACTGAGCTGTAGGAAGAGGGTCTCATTAACAGGAAAGGATTGCGGAATACAGTCACAAAGGACACAAGACCAAAAGGAGCTGTGGGATTATGGGCTGTTACAGGGGGGAAGACAGGAGAAGAGGGCAGGAAGGGGTGAAGCCCATTTTAGAAGAATTCGGTAAATTTAAAATAGCAAATTTCTCATTTAGTAATTTAAAAGCATGACTTGTTTCAAGTTATTTTGCTAACAGAAAACAGCTATGTAAGCAGATCTGCTTGAAGATCTCATGCCAGCTCTAAGCACATTTAAGTCCCATAGCTAACAATCTCATCGAGAAATAGAGCAGCTAGTATATCATTAATATGCAGGGTGAGTCGGGTTCACTTTGAAAAATGGTCAATGTGGGTATTTCTCTAACTCTAACCCATT